GGGAGGAGTAAGGGGGAGAGTTGGTTGCTGTATTTGGGAGGTATTTTTAATTCTGAAATATGTGGCTGAATTTATACTGAACATGCAAAAATTTGCATATAATGAATTCTAAATCTATAGCAGTAGGAAAATTAAACAAGGCTGGTTTTAGTTGGTTGAACACTGGACTGTTTTGCAGAAAAAGCTCAAAATTTTCAGGCCTTTACAATGTACTCATCCTTCATTGAAAGCAGTCTTGCCATAGGGATTCCAGCCAGGCCTCTTTTAAAACCAGTCTTTGCTACATCAGTAAATCTTTTACAAAACCATATGGTTCATCCCATAGTCAATAAAGCACCCTCTTTTATCACAGCCTGTGTTCACCAAATCAGTTTGAGCAGGCCAAAGTTGAATGTTTTTTTTATTTACTATTATTGTTTGACGTATAGCAGGAGTAGTAACAATAATAATACTTTGTGCTTATGTATCACTTTGCAATCCTAAATCTTAATATTCTTCTCAATAATAGTAGGCTCCTGGAAATCTCTGTGCCAAATAAACAGAAATTGGTTTGCTAAGCAGAGAACTAGGAGTTGTCTCTTCTGTTTCATTGTCCGCTTCCTTACTTGTACTGGATAGAGAATTACAAATTTACACCCCAGCCAAGGCTTGACAGTTGCAACCTATTGTGCTAGAAGGGGTTGATTTGCTTCAAAAACTCTCACTTTTACTACAGATGGAGAATATTCAGTTGTCTGTTACGTTGGCCTGTCTTGACAGACCTTGTATAATAAGTGGCGGGTCAGCTACTCTTTACAGATTTGGCTGTTAGTGAGTTTTGGTTGAGGAAGAAACAAGCAATCAGAATACTAGTGCTAAAACTAACAAATAAGATAAAGCTAAATCTTTAAAAAATTGCTGAAATAGGGTACAGACTTAAGCTCTTAAGTGACTTAGCAGCTTTTTAACACGTTAGAGAAAGACAGTCATATTATTATCTGTATCATTTAAAAACAAAGCGGGGGGGGGAGCAGGAAGTCACTGTGCCCAAGAAAATAAATTAGGAAATTTGGTTTGTCATGACTACAAAAAATAATAAATAACATTTACTCTTTGTTTGCACTGAAGACAGCAAGGAATGTATAAGTTGCATTTTAGCTCAGTCGCATGTTGTAGCTGTTTGGAAGATACGGTCTGAGAGATCCTGCTCTGTTGCAAAAGCTCTAGAAGTTACTTTTCAAAAGCACAGTATTTTCAGTTATATTGCAATTCCCTCCGAGTGTGGAATGAGAGCTTCTATGTCTGTGAGCTTCCACGAAGGGATAGCTCTTTTCCTAAAGTCTGTCATCTGTTTTTATCCAATGTGTTTTTTTCACATGAGAGGCAGAATATTTGGAAAATGACTGTTTAATAGAGTCAGGTGGAGCTTTTATACAATGTTAAAAGAATAATGTTTCCCTATTAAATACCTCACTGGTCTCAGCGTTCTAGCTAAAAAATTGCAGACATAACCCTGCAATATGACAGTTATTCCATTTGCAGTCTTTTTTTTTCGCTTTGTATTTTTTATACTGCTGCACTTTTTATTTTCTCTGGTAACAGAGTTGTATATCTTGGGTTACGATAAAGACTATAAACCTGCTGACAGGCTATTTCTAACCTTCCTGTGTTGTATTTGCAGAATATGTGGATTGAGAGAACTGTGTATTTGACAGCATATAAATTACCTGGGATTTTAAGATGGTTTGAAGTCAAATCAGTTTTCATGGTGAGAGAAATTTACTGAGATTACTTAATTAGAAACATCTCATGCTGTATTATTGTGTGTTTTATATTTGAGCAATTTATGTAATAACTCCAGCTTAATATCTGTGATCAACATCAGCATACTGGGGACTGACTTGCCCATTGTATTTACCGAAGAATAGGGTGGTTTAATAACCATATGAAGGTAGCAGAAGTAATGTTGTTCTAACATCAGTTCAAAAAGGTACATCCTACAAACCTGTGGGCTCTGGTTCAACAACACTTAAACACCTTTTATCTTGAAGCATGTGAGCTGTCCCTTTAATAGCAAAAGAGCTAGTCACATGCCTGAAATGAAGCAGAAACTTGCTAATTTAGATGCATCGGAAACAGGAAACAAAAAGTATTTTTTCTTTAAAAAAATAAATTAATAAATAAAATTAAGAATTGGGCATTTTGATAGCAAGAAGAAAACAATAAAAGTTAAATCAAATTACCATACTGGTACTCACTGAATTCCTTTTGTAAATGTAATTTGTGATTAACTAGTTGATTTTATCCTCCGCCCCCCACCCCCGTATTACTTTAAAATAATTTAAATATGTTTTAATAATTCCACAAAGAATTTCAACAAATGTACCTTCTTTTTCTAGCTCTATCGCTGACACTGTTTCTGATTGTTTAAGAAAGACATACATAAAATGTTTTTAATATTAAATTATTCTTACACAGCTCTTAATTTTTAAGTAGCAATAAAAATATCGTTACTGAAGTTTTTAAATCTCCTCTATGAAACCTGTTTTTAAAGGGAAAGAATAGTTTGCATATTATTAATCTAACCTTTTTATTTCTCCATTGTGACTGTTGGACAGTTGTATTAAAATGAACAAAAGTAATTCAGGAAATGTTATGGTATCTATAGTAACAATATGGATACGATATTTGACAGCAGTAGGCAACTGAATAAAACGCATTGAATTTTTTATTAATTTTGTATTTTTCTAACATAATCCTCATAGAAAGAAATACCTTTCTGATTACAAGAAGAGTTCTTTGCAGGTTGAGCATATCTTATGAAAATCAGTTCTCCTTATGAGTTAAGAACACCGCCTGACAGGCCACTGTATACAGACGATTTGCATGTGTGCCCCTTTAACGCTATGCATCTCTTAGAAATGTGCATAAATCCTTCTGATAGAGCTTCTTCTATAAGCCTTTTGTAAATAAGGATTACATTAGCCACATAGCTGAAAAATTATACAAAATGTAATTTAATCATAATGATTAAAGACAGCAAAGGATTACTTTTGACCTATAACGTTAGGTGCAGTTATGATAAAAGCGGTGTTAGGTGTTCATAAACATTCTTACCAGGTAAACATCTAGGGGCAAATTTCAAGTCTTGCGCTTTTGTAACAGATGCTCCAGATATAAATAACATAGATGATCTGCTAAATACAGTGGATGAAACTACATTTGAACATTTCATTGATTGTTGATAGAACTACAAAAATATTTTACAGGGCTTTTAAGTAAAGAGTTAATACAATCTCAAATCAGAAGAACAAATAATATATATGGTCTTTTCTGTTTTAAATAAATAATGAAACATGAGTTTTGTGAATTTATTTGTTGTTTGAAATTATTTGCTAAATAATTTCTGCTAATAAGTTTAGTTCCACAGTTTTTTGAATAATTTGTTATGAGCATTCAGTATTTCAAATCTGAGCTCATAGGCTGTACAGCTTTCAGATATTTTGTGGCTATTTCTCTTGCAAGTGGATGAGCATGACTCTTGAAATTAAGTTTTTGGTTCCAGTAAACATGTTTACAAATGGAAAATTTATGTTAAAATGTTTTATGTACAAACATTTATGACAATAAGTTTATCAACTAAAATATTCATGGAAAACAAACAACAAGAATGATCATAGCAAAAAAAAAAGTACAGCTTGATTTAAAGTGAATATTTTCAAGATAAAATTGGAGATATATCAATGATTCAGATGCTGGATTTTGAATTATAGTCAGTCAATGAATAAATAAAGCAGGCATACTAACATATGATGTATTATGGCATTTAAGCTGAACCCATATGTCAGGACTGTGACATACTTCATTTCTCTTTGCCATAGGAAGATGGTCTGGTCTATATAAGTACTTAGAAAAAAGTCATAATTTCAAGTGTTCAAATTTGTAATAAACAGGGATCAATCTTTCTTGAAGTAACTGGGGCTGACTTAAAATATGAGATCCACTCTGCTCACTCGACCTCAAAAAATAATTAGGAGAGAGTCACAAGAAACAGAAATGAAAAAGAAGGAAAATGAAGAAAAAATCCAGGGCTGCTCCTGAGAGAGAGAGTATAAGTTAAGAAGTCACTTTTTCACCTCAGTTAGTATTAAGTGTAACAGTTGTCCAGTTTCCTTTAAAAAACTTCAGTAGCAATTTATTTTCATGACAAATTATTTGCCAGTGTAACATCCTAAATTTAGCATTTAACTCTCACAATGGAACCTGCGTAGCTTTTAGTAACTATGCAGGCATTTTTGTCATCTCATTCACCCTATTCAAATTACAGTTCTTGCAAATGCAGCAGTCAGATGGAGAAATCTTCCAAGTGGGTAAGTCTGCTCTAGCTGACAGATACAACAGAGCTACTTGCATGTTACCTTGAATTTTAAAATAATGCCCAAAACGTGCTCTTTAAAATGATAATTAAAACAGCCTTGGTGTAATCAGATAGCAGGTGTAAGACCAACAACTAAAGAGATTTGATTATAAGTGGCTCTCAGAAGCATGTTAAGCTACTGATAGCTAGATAGGAGTGCTTCTTTATTTATGTAACGTTTATGTAAATTAGAATGTAATCAAATACACACTTGCATTTTCCTTACAAGCCCCAATTAACCTTCCTTTTCCATACCCAGCATACCATTTTCAGATAAATAACAACCAACCTTGAAATGAAGGATTCCAAAGTAGGGAATGTTGCTGGTTGGTTGAGATTTGGGTTTCTTGGGCTGTGTCCAGATGAGCATGGGCGTGAGGTATGTGGCACCGCAGACTTGTCTGTGGCGCTACACACTGTTCATGCAGGTGTCCCTGCAATGCTGCCTTGCAGTGCGGAGGGGTAGGGGATTGAAACCCATGCTTTAAAAAAGTGGTGTGGTGCACATGGTAGTAGCACACACCACCCAAAACCAGAGCCTGGCCTGCCAGAGCCATGCTCCAGCTGCCAGCCAGGCTCCAAGCTGCAAGAGCACCACAACTGCAGCTCCCCAAAGCCCCCAGGACCCGAGGTAAGGCTGCTGGGGCCAGCACAGTTGCTAGCCCCAGTCTCCCCTACCCCACCTGGGGTTATCTGCCGTGTGCCAGAGCACATGTGACATGAGCATTCCCTGGGGCCAAGTAGCAGTGGCATAACTTGTGCCTGGGGAAACACATGGCTGTGCCTGTCTGGATGCAGCCTTTCTGTCCATTTCTCCACCGATGTTAGCATATGTATTTTAGCTATATTTCAAGTATTTTGCAAATATTTTCATTCTATGTAAGCAAGTGTTATAGTTACTTGAATTTAACATATTTCCTTGCATACACAATGCCCCAAAATAAAATGCTCACCTTGTTTTTGAAAAACAAAATGAAGAAAAAAAGATCTTCCCTTATAATAAGTAACTGAATAGCAAGAGCTAAGAGACTGCAACTTCCTATTGTTCTGGTACCTGTGCTCAGACTTTACTTTTACTTTTGCCTGGTAAGGAACAGAAACTTCTCTTACCATATTTTCTTGCATATATCATTGCACACCAATTTCCAGCAGCAGGTTTTGGGGGAAAGAGGGTGTGTTGTGCGTGAGAAAATGTAGTAGTATCTTTTCTCATGGAGCAGTAGAGGGCCTATATGATTCGAATGAGACTGAAGCTGCTCACATTGCACTCACTTTATTCAGAATTGATTCACACTGTTAAAGAGTCTGAGGGTCTTTGGTTTAAATAATGACAACTTTGGGTTATGCAAACTTTAGGTTAGCTTTTGCCCTTTATTTCCTAAAATAGGAAGAACACAGTACTACCTCCTGGAATAAATGTGAGAATGTAATTGTTTACAGTACAACTTCTCAGTTTCCTGAGAGGATAGCACAAGCATTGCTGCAAAGGCCAGACAGAAATACCTTTTTTCCTTAATGGGTCAGCTTTTTAAGAGTACAATATCGAGTAACTCCTGACAACTCACATCAAGAAACTATCTGTTTTCTTACTATTACATTAAAAGGGTTTTCTTCTGTACTCATGAAGAGCTGCCTTTCTGTAGCAGTTTCCTTGTCCGTAACTTTCCCCAGTATCTAATAAGAAGTTCAGAGAATCTGTGCAAGGCAATTCCAGCACTTTAAACTTACTTGACCTTTGAGAGTGATAGGCGGCAATAATAATGCTGTACCAATGCAAATATAAACAAACCTACAGTAAAATTAAGTTAATTAATATTTAAAATAATTCATCACTATGGTAGTGTTTTTCAGTGCACTGAATCTTCACCAGACTCCTTGATTTGTACACAAAACACTTTGACTAATTCATCAGCTGTTAAAGTATAGTTAATCATTTCCAAACATACACACACTAAATCAAAATGGAATTTGCTCCTGATGAACATTTGTTTCATACTGTTCTTTTAGGTAGAAATCAGTCCACTGGAGAATGCAATAGAAACCATGCAGTTGACAAATGATAGGATCAATAATATGGTTCAACAACATTTAAGTGATCCAAATCTGCCTATTAACCCTCTCTCTATGTTACTTAATGGAATTGTGGATCCTGCAGTCATGGGAGGCTTCACAAACTATGAAAAGGTATGGTCAAAATTAGCTGTCATATTTATCTATCTCTTCAGTTGTAGAATTTCATCATGTAAAAGTGTGTGTGTGTGTGTGTGTGTGTGTGTGTGTGTGACAGAATGTGCACATGTGAGAGAGAGAGCGGGGGAGAGAGAATTTTGAAAAGCTAAAATGCCCCATGTGTATATTATAATGGGTTAATATTTATTAAAGAATTTTGTGGGTTGAAGAAACAACTGTAAGGTTTGTTTAGTAGTGAGGTTGAAACAGTGTACCAAGGGATATAAAGAACTGTATTTCTTTTGAAACAATTTGGTCAGATTTGATAGCTTTTAAAACATATGCTGTCATTCACCTGGAACTTCTTTGCATCAAGGTAGACGTTACTGTGTGAAATTCTGTGGCCTACATTACACGTGTAGGTAGATGACCTGATTATAGTGCTTCCTGCCATGATATCTCTATGCTTATATGGATTGATTTCCTGAAAGAGCCTTATTGTAAGGTATTAGTCCATTCCAAATGTGTCTAAATGAACTGAGCTACTTCATGTAGCTGTTATCTGATAAACATGTACAGAGGACAATTAAAAATGTTGAAAATATAAAAATTACATGAATGCCTTATTGATATGAGCTGATTTACATACTGCACATTCTCATAGGATAAATAAAAGAAATGTGCTTTCAGTTTCCTTTTTACAGAGTAACTTCTGTGGTACTTCAATATCTCCAGTGTAGCTCGCCTACACAGGACTCTCAGACCCCTGGGCTTTGATGTGTAGGGGTGTTATAGATGAGGAGGGCTCAGTAGAGCTCTTCAGCAATGCCACTGGTGTGTGACAAAGGGTTTGTTATTAACCTTTATGGGATAATTTTCCTTCCTCTACTTTGTTGCTTTCAAGACTTAAATGCCTTTGTATTAATTGGTGTTAAATATTGTACCTGTCCTTCCTCACCTTTACTTGTGTATTTGTAAAATGATACTTTATAGCAAAATCTGTTGCTTTGATTTCTTTACCTTTGCCTTAACTAAATATTTGCATAGGTATCAAATGTTGACTGATTTTCAGAAGTGACTGAAGTAACTGGTACTTTTCTGTCTTTGTTAGGCTTTTTTTACTGAAAAATACATGCATGAGCACCCAGAAGACCATGAAAAGATTGAAAAACTAAAGGACCTGATAGCATGGCAGGTAAAACTGTCTAATACATATTGTGCAGGGGCCAAGTGGCATATGAAGGCGGCCTGCTGTCACGTTTGACAAAATCCAGGCATCAAACTGCTCACCCTAGTGTATACATTTCAGTGGCATTTAGACTGACTTGGAACATGAGCTAAAGTTCATCTTTTTGAATCTGACATAGTTTGTCATTTTGTAATCCCACAAGTAACTAGCATTATTAACTCATTTTTTATCACATAGGCTATTTTTACCCTTTAAAGATACAAATATATTACCTTTCAAAGAGGTAAAGATCTTAGTGTTGGCTGATACTATTATGAATATAGTTCTAATTTTTCCTACTTTTTAATTCAGATTTAATATGAAATTCCATGTAAACTGCATTTAAATATTAATAATTTAAGCACAAACAAATCAAATACTAAGCTATGAGTCTGTCCTTTGTATATATGTATTAACAGTTGAATTATGTGATCACTTAATGTATCTTCAAATACATGTAGGTAACAGTTAATAAAAGTATTATATACAACAGGCACAGTAAATGAAGCTAGAGATTACTTGAAGCCCTTGCCTCATTCACTCTCTGCTTTACAAAATGGATATGTTATGATACATGGTGAAACTCTGCAATACCATGCTTACGGTTTCTGTTCATAGCAGAAACATACTTTAAATGGATTAATTGAGAGATTACACAGAGAATCTATGGTGAACCATGATAACCCAGTTCTCCTAGCCCTGTGCCTTAAATATAGCACCATCCTTCCCATGTGAAGAGCTACATTTACATGTACCAAAAATACATTTCAAGAAAACTATGTGCTGCTATTTTTATGATAAAAAATTATGATAAAAATCTACCAATGAGACTAGAAATGTTTTCACCATGGACAAAACCACGATTGTTTTTTTTTTTATATTCAATTCTCCCCTTATTATAAAGGGAATAATTAAAATTTCTAGAGGATTCAGTTTTACAGATAGCAGAAACCGAAGTTATAAAATTAAAAAATCCTCTGAAGGCCATAAAACTATTGCTGAACAAAAACGAGTTTGGTCTGCAAAAGTTATATTGATTTTTTTTTTTTCTTTTTTTTCCCCTTCTTTTCCCCTGCAAGCTTTCACAGCAGATTGGATTTTAGGAGTTTCAAGTTATACAGAAGAAAATAATTTGATCCCAAGAGAGTAACTTCATGTCAGCACTGTGTCATTGCCCTTAATAACTATATTAAAAATGAATTTTCATAGTGTTCATGGTTACAGTTTACCCCAGTAGAGGATCACATTGCTGAAAACATTAGTACATTTAAAATAAGAAAGTACTCTTAGAAAATGCACATAGAATATATCTAGGTTTTATCTTGATTAGTTAGATTATATAAATGCATATGTATATATATATAATTTCCACATTACTAGTTCAATTAAAACTGTGATGGACAATAAGAAACTTTTTGAAAAGAGATTAATGGAAACAAATTCTTTTTCTGAAAATAAGGGGTGCATCTGTCAAAAGACAGCTTTGTAAACTACCTCTGTCTTGTACAAATTTAGAGTATTTATATTTAAAACATTTCTAGAAACTATTTAATGTCTTACAGAAGGCAAATAGCATAACTTTATAGAAAAGGTGCAAGGATAAAGAAAACTTAAATATTGCTTCTCATGTAAGAAACTAGATAGACGGGGGGTGGGGGGTAAGAGAGAAGGGATGGAATATTTCACCCCTTAGCCACTAATTTGAATTCATCACCATCTCAGCAATGACTTCTTTCCCTGTATGTCAGAATCTGTTGATGTACATGAGTAAAAATAAATTGGGAAATCTCTAGTTCCTAGTAAATAGGTTTTCATCTAGCTTATTGTTGGTGCTGTGTGCTTTTTAAGAAGATTGCTTTTATTTGTGTGTGTGCATGTTCAGGTGTGCATATATACAATAGATACAAATTATATTATTGAATGTGACTAATTACTTCCTTAACCATTTCACTTGCATTGTTAGACCCCTTCACCTTGCCTTTCTCTCTTTGATCTTTTAGAATTACAGGCCCCTTGGGCTAGGACAGCGACTTCCATAGGCCCTTTCTAATAGTACTATAAATGAAAGAAGAGAGATCGAAAAATGAAAACTTAATAATCTTTTTTGATCAGTCTCAAACTGTAAGGCAAACTGGAACTACTGTCAGGAGAAGCCATTACAGAACAGGACAAATGCACTTACAGATGGAGCAATGTGGTAAAAATGTTAGGTTTAGCCTACCTTATAAATAAAAGGCCTTCAGTTTCTAGTGGTACCATTCAGTGTGGTGCTTTCCATTAGCTTGAAGTACGTGCTTATGAAAAAATAGTACGGACTAAATTAATGCTGTTTAAATCTAAATTTAGGATTTTCAATTTTCCTATGAAATGACGTGGTATTATTTTCACGGAACATGATTGACTGCACCAATTCATGGTTAGGTTTCAGTTTTTTAGGTCTACTTAATTGATGTTAGTGGGGTTCATTTTTTTCCTAATGTTTTACTTTTTATTTCTTGGGGAAATACATTTCCATAATGTTATTTGGACATGTAATGTTGAGCTAAAAATAGCTGATTCCTCAGCCCAGGATGGTAATAAAGTTTAATTTGATATGATGGCATAGTCAGTATCTCAACTGCTAGCCATTATATTTAGATCATACAAAGACTGATGCATAACACATGGAATGACTCCTTTGCCATACTGCTGCAGGTAACCTACAGTGTACAACATAAGCCATTCAGAAAATCTTGTTAAAGTAAAAGTTTTCATTTTCATAAGCATTTGGAAGTAGAATCGGAGTACTGTAACATTTTCTGTTTAAGCAGAAAACTAAAATCCCTGTCTGCTGAACATATTAAATAGTGTAGTAGCCTGGAAACTTTTAAAAATAGGGAATGATTAGGAGAAAAATAGGTTATGGAATAAATACTATTTGGAGTATTTTTTTTTCCTTTTGAAATTCAGTTATGCACTGTTATCTTTGATTTTTCTTTTTTTTACTCTATAATAAAGACATTCATCCAAAGCTAAGATCACCCTTCATGATCAATTAAAATAAACTAAACCCATCAATTATTTCAAGGTCAAATGACTCAGCAACAATATAACTATAGCAAAATTCAATCACCGCTACTCCTTGTATGTTCATACAGGTTTCCCATCAGAATTCTGTACCATTACTAACCAGATCTCCTTATCTCCTTCTGACTAAAGAAGAAAAGAGGGACTTTTCAGCTCAGGATTTTCAGGTTTTGTGGTAAACCATTTTGCAATTTGAAGCAACATCAGTGACAAAGTTTGACAATATTTTCAAATTGAATTTATAAGTGCATAGTATGTTTACATGCACTTGAGGTGACATTTTCTTTGTGGTATCTTTTATTGCAGTGGTTTTCAACCTGTGGGCTACAGATCCCTGGGGGTCCACAGACTATGCCTAAGGGATCTGCAAAAGATGACTGTGATAAATCAAAAGTATATGAATACCCCACTTACAATTCAAAGGGGTCCGCACCTCCATTTGAAATTTCCAAAGGGGTCTGCACCTGCATTTACATTTCTAAGGGGTCTGCAGATGAAAAAAAGGTTGAAAACCTCTGTTTTATTGGACTAACTCTGTAGTTGGTCCAGTAAAACGCATCACAAAAAAGCCCTTGCCTCTCATACATGTCCTGGACCGTCAAGGCTAAAACAGCGCTTTAGCCCTACTACACGTGAACTTGAACAAATATCTCCAAAACAGTTGCACATCCTCCAGCCAAGACTTCACCAAGTTTTCTCTTCAAATAAGACATTTATTTATACCTTGGTCATCTTATTCTTTCTCTGAAACAGATTGGGTGCTCTCTCTTGTCACACCCTATACCATATGATATTAAGACCACAGTGTCTCCAGCCTTTGAATGGACAGAGCTCATGTTTTCAAAATTAATCCTGTAAGATTTAATCCTGGATGTTAGCCTTCCTTCAACAGATACTCTATAAATAATAGAATCTCACACAGGTTTAACTGTACCCAGTGTCCTCTGAAGCTAGTTCAGCTAATAGTCTTCACCAAGACAAAAGAGAATGCTTAATCCATGCCATCTTTATGAACATATGGGTACTGTTTCCTGCCTTCTACTTGACTTCACACTAACATGACTAACTACATCTCTCTGCAGTTTCTCTAGTCAACTGGAAGGAGGACCCTTGGAGCCAGGGCCTCTATTTAACCTTTTCTGTTGAGCTTTTGATATCAACTATTTAAAACATGCATTTCATTAATACCTTTGATACAGCAGGGGACATTCTAGGCCAGCTGAATTTTTCAGTGCTGAGCCAGCTGGGTCTGTGTACTCAGACTCGCTCTGTAGCCATGGAAACGTGCATCTAGGAGTGAAACTGGGTCCCCCATCCCCAGAAGCTGCAGTTAATTTTTGACCAAGTCACAGAGGTAGAATCACCAAACTTCCAGTCCCCTGGGAATGATATCAGTGATACCTGCAAAACTGCCTCAACCCTGTAGTGCTTAGTGTATCCTTTTGTAGCACTATGAAGAGGTATTTAGCACTAAAAATGTAATACAGTAATACCTCTCTGTGACCTAAGGAAATGTCTTTATGGCTCAAGGCAGTGCTCTGCAGATAGTCTAGGTAGCACATGCTAGCTCCATAAATGAAAGTGGCATGGCAGCATTAACATTGTACTATGCCCAAACTAAATAGTCCTGCTGCAATGCAGGGCTGGCACAAGCTAATGTAGGTAGACTGCTTAGAATTCCCAACCAGATGTGCACAGAGCTAGCTTAGAGAACTCTTTACAACACTGGTTTACACTATAGAGATGTATAGAATCATGGAAAATCATAGAAAATTAGGGTTGGAAGGGACCTCAGAAGGTCATCTAGTCCCAAACCCCTGCTCAAAGCAGGACCATCCCCAACTAGATCATTCCAGCCAGAGCTTTTGAGCCTTAAAAATCTCCCAGGATGGAGATTCCTCCACCTCTCTAGGTAACCCGTTCCAGTCTTTCACCACCCTCCTAATGAGAGTTTTTCCTAATATCCAACCTAAACTTCTCTTGCTACCCTTGAGACCACTGCTCCTTTTTCTGTCATCTGCCACCACTGAGAACAGTCCAGCTCCATCCTCTTCGTAACCTCTTTTCAGGTAGCTGAAGACTGCTATTAAATCCTCCCTCAGTTTCTCTTCTAAATAAGTTTCTCTAGACTAAATAAGCCCAGTTCCCTCAGCCTCACCTCAGAAGTTACGTGCCCCAGTCCCCTAACCATTTTCATTGCCTTCCCCTGGACTCTCTCCAACTTGTCCACATCATTTCTATAGTAAGAGGTCCAAAACCAGCCACAGTACTCCACGTGTGGCCTCCCCAGTGCACAATAGAGGGGAAAAATTACTACCCTCAATCTTCTGGCAATGCTCCTACTAATGCAGCCCAGTGTGCTATTAGTCTCCTTGACCATGAAGGTACACTGTTAACTCATATCTTATTGTCCAGTGTAACCCCCAGGTCCTTTTCTGCAGACCTTCTGCTTAGCCTGTAACAGTATATGGGATTCTACTATCCTAAATGCAAGACTTTGCACTTGTGCTTGCTGAACCTCATGAGGTTTCTTTTGGCCCAATCCTCTGATTTGTCTAGGTCACTCTGAATCCTAGCGCTACCCTCCTGCATATTTACTCCTCCCCACAGCTTGCTGTCATCCACAAACTTGCTGAGGGTGTACTCCATCCCATCTTCCAGATTGTTAATGAAAATATTGAACAAAACTGGCCCCAGTACTGACTGCTGGAGCACTTCACTTGATACCAGCTGCCAACTGGACATTGATCCATTGATCGCTACCCTTTGAGCCTGACGTTCCCGCCAGGTTTCTATCCAGCTTGCAGTCCATTCTTCCAACCCATACTTCCTTATCTTGCTTGCAAGAATGCTGTGGGAGACCATATCAAAAACCTTGCTAAAGTCAAGGTATATAACATCCACTGCTTTCCTTGCATCCACAGAGCCAGCCATCTCATCATAGAAGGCAATCAGGTTGCTCAGGCATGACTTGCCCTTGGTGAATCCACGCTGACTGTTCCTAATCACCTTCTTATCCTGCAAGTGCTTAGAAATGGGTTCCTTGAGGAGGACCTGCTTCATGATTTTTCTGGGACCTGAGGTGAAGCTGACTGGTCTGTAGTTCCTTGGATCCCTCAGATGCATTGCATCCAGCCCCATGGACTTATACACATCCCACTTTTCTAAATATTCCCTAACCTATTCTTTCACCACTGAGGGCTGCTCACCATCTCCCCAAACTGTGCTGCTTGGTGCAGTAGTCTGGGAGTTCACCTTGCCTGTGAAGACTGAGGTAAAAAAGATGTTGAGTACTTCAGCTTTTTCCTCCTCATCACTAGGTTGCCTCCTCCATTCAGTAAAAGACATACATTTTCCTTGACCTTCCTCTTGTCACTAACATACTTGTAGAAACCTTTCTTGTTACCCTTTATATCCCTTGCTACCTGCAACTTCAATTGCTCTTTAGCCTTTCCGACTTCATCCCTGCACGCCCAAGCACTATTCTTATACTCCTCCCTAGTCATCTCTCCAAGCCTCCGCTTCTTGTAAGTTTCCTTTTTGTGTTTAAACTTACTGAAGAGTTCTCGGCTAAGCCAAGCTGGTTGCCTGCCATGTTTGCTATTCTTCCTGCGCATTGGGATGCTTTGTTCCTGCACCCTCAGTAAAGTTTCTTTAAAATACAATCAGCTCTCTTAGACTCCTTTCTCCCTCAGACTGGCCTCCCAGAGGATCCTGCCCATCAATTCCCTGAGAGAGTCAAGGTCTACTTTTCTGAAGTCCAGGGTCCTTACTCGGACCTGTGCTCTCCTTACTTCCTTTTGTCAGGATCCTGTACTTGATCATCTTGTGGTCACTGCTGCCCAGGTTGCCATCCACTTCTACATCCCCCAGCAATTCTTCCCTGTTTGTGAGCAGCAGGTCAAGAAGAACATAGCCTGTAGTTGGTCTCTCCAACACTTGCACCAGGAAGTTGTCCCAAGTGCTCTTGAAAAACTTCCTAGATTGCTAATGCACTGCTGTATTACCCTTCCAGCAGATGTCAGGGTGACTGAAGTCCCGCATGAGAACCAGGGCCTGTGATCTGGAAACTTCCACTAGTTGTCTGAAGAAAGCCTCATCCTCCTGGTCTGTTGGTCTATAGCAGACACCCACAACATCACCCTTGTTGCTCTCCCTGCTAACCTTAACCCAATGACTTTCAACAGGCCTATCTCCAGTTTCATACTGAAGGTCTGAGCAATCATACAGTTCTTTTACATACAGCGCAACTCCTCTTCCTCTTCTCCCCTGCCTGTCCTTCCTGAACAGTTCGTACCCATCAATGACACTACTCTAATCTTGTGAGCTATCCTACCATATCTCTATTATTCCAATCACGTCATAGTTCCTTGGTTGTGTGAGGACTTCCAATTCTTCATGCTTGTTTCCTAGGCTCCATGGTTTTATGTACAGACACCGGAGGTAGATAGCTGATTGTCCTACTTTCTCAGGAAGAATGAGAGCACCTCCCCTGTTGCCTCCTCCTGCTTGAGCTTCCTCCAGGTCATCTACTTCCCTACTTACATCAGGGCTTTGTCCATCCCCCAGTGAGAACCTAGTGTAAAGCCCTCCTCACTAGGTTAGTGAGCATGTCTGCAAAGATGCTCTTCCATCTTTTTGTCAGGTGGATCCTTTCTCTTCCCAGCAAGCCTTCTTCTTGGAACAACATCCCATGGTCAAAGAAGCTGAATCCCTGCTGGCGACACTACCTGCATAGCCATGCATTGATCTGCAGGATGTGTCCACTCCTGGCCAGGCCCTTTCTCTTGACTGGAAGGACAGAGGAGAACATCACCTGTGTCCCTGTCCCCTTCGCCCTTGCACCCAGAGCCCTGTAGTCAGTGATGATCTGCTCAGGATCACCCCTGGCAGTATCATTGGTGCCCACATGGATGAGCAGCATGGGGTAGTAGATGGTCAGACATACCATAAACTTCTCTTTGATCAACTTCTGGAAAGAAGTCACATATTCCAAACAGCAATACTGCTTTTTTCTCCAAATATTGAGATTCTGCCACAGTAGAGTGGGACCATCAGTGCTAAAGATCTTTCTTTGTCTTCATAGGGAAAAGTGCTCTATACCCATTCCTGTGTCAGCCTCATTGTTCTCAGATTTGGTTAAGCTACTGCAGAGCTTGGCCAATGTATACCTTACATTTATAAACACTTCTCTTAAAAAGAGTGCTTGGCTTTAAATTCTAGCTTCTTACTAATCCTTGTTATGCAGGAATGAAGCAGACCATTGCTTTAAACTCTGTCAGCCATTAATCAATATGTGTGCTGCAACCAGCAATATCCCTGATGCAAGAAACATTTTTATAAATCTTAAGATACTTGTCCAAGCCTCTCTTTTCTCTTGCACCTAGGGAAAACAAATTAACCAACTGACCTCTTAGAACCGTGCACAAGAGGGTCTCAACTTGGTCTTTGGTCATTATGGCAATTTTGAGATTTGTTTAATATAGACAGAGTAACAGGAACAAGATAAGTTTAATGTTTAAGCTTTGCTACTGAGTATAAAGCACGTGGATTATAAATAAATGTGGATAAAGTAGAAATATTGTACTTATTCTGTCTTTCCTTTGAAGAGTGCCAAGAGAAGCAACAGCTGCTTGCTCTTAAATAGCAAGAAAATGCATTTTATTCATGGATTCATCTTGATAAGATTTTTTGAATTTGTTCACATGTAATTCAATTGTGTACTTATTATCCTTCTTACTAATAAATCTGCTCATGGAGATTGCTGCTCAGTCATATTAGAAAAATCTGTTTTTAATCAGTATTATGGGTTAATTATGAATTATTAAGAAGAAGCTTCTTAACTTGATTGCTGCAAAGAATATCTAGCTTAGAATCAGTGCTCTGTGTACTGAAGCTGATCTCACAAAGGAAATATTTTTCTTAAGCTTGATATAAGAAATCTAATTGTAGGTCTGTATAACAGTGGGAATGAAAATGTCTGTCTTAAAACATTTTAAAAGGTCAACTACACGTCCACCCTATGAACTAATTACATAAGTTTGTGTTACCTTGGATATTTTATGACAGAAATCTTGCAGGTAAATGGTTATTTTCAGTTATAAGAGAGAATTAATTTCATTCTCACTTACCTACCTAACCTACTCCCCAGCAGAGTTCTTTGAAAACCATTTTGTGATGAAAATCTTCTAGACATTATTATGTAAAGTTGTATATTTCCTTAGCAAATACTGTTGTATACTATATAGTTCTAGCTTTCCATATATGAATAGCTAGGAATTTTTGCAGCATAATGCAGGGCTTTATAAATAACTTTTGTTAAATAAAAACAATCTGAAGATTTTTTCTCTGTCCTGTTTAGTCTCAAGAAACCTGGTTGGGCTGACATTAATAACCTAGCTTAAGAGTCAGCATTCATCAGCATGCCAATTTACAGAACAGTTTGGGTTTTTTAATGTAATGGCAGTATTTATTCATGCTGATAAATTTAGCTGTGTTTATGGAATGTGATTTGTGGACAGAATTATGTATACATTAATTATAAAGAACCATGGCAAAAGAGTGAAAATGAAACCTTGTGTATTATTAAAAAGGATCGCTAATTATTTCCTGTGTTAGGTATGATTTTATAGAATAATAATAATAATAGTTCATTTGTCTTAGAAATGTTAAAGTATATTTAGAAATCCTCTTGCTCTCTTCCCTCCTTGTTGGCGATCAGAAAATTAATTGTGATCTAATTTTATTTTTAGATTCCGTTCTTGGCAGAAGGGATCCGAATTCATGGAGAGAAAGTAACTGAAGCGCTTAGACCGTTTCATGAGAGAATGGAGGCCTGTTTCAAGCAACTTAAAGAAAAAGTAGAAAAGCAATATGGGGTCAGAACAATTGTGAGTTGTCCCGAAATTATATTTGAAAAAAGTATCTGCTTTTAGATTTACTGTAATATATAGGGTACTTTATAATTTTCCTAACTTAATTCACATTGATGAATGTCTTGAAGGATGAAATCACACACACACACACACACACATATACACACACACACACACACACACGTGCGCGTGCACACCCCCACCCCCCCAGTTAAAACAGAGGATTGTTTAAGAATATTTGGTAAGTTAATGATTTTATTTTTTGGTAGGCGATAATGCTAGTGATGGGTTTAAAATCAGTTTTATACGGATGATTATTTTTCTCATTAGCTTCCCCAAAATTCTGCAGGTGAGTAGCCTGCAAAATATGATCACTTGGCAAGTATTACATGTTAGATCAGGGGTATCAAACTCATTTGGTGCTCTGGGTCGGATGAGGGACACGGAGATGGAGCCAGCATGTGCATGCATCACATACCATGAGCTGGCCCCACATGCCTTGTACAGCTTGCCTTGGCTCCAATCCTATGTGCTGCATACAGCATGTGCCAGTCCTGCACACTCTATTCAGCACACAAGGTGTGGGACACATGCTGCATGCAGTACTCGCATCAAACCTGTCCTGTACACTAGATACAGCATGCAGGGTTGGTCTGTAAGCCCAATGGAGACTCAATGGCCCCAGATCCAGTGTGCAGAGCCAATCCAGCACGGGCATCAGTCCAGCCCCATGCACTATCTATAGCACATGCACCAGGTTCAGCCTTGCATGCCCTATGCAGTATTTGGGGTTGGGGCAGCATGTTGTACACAAGGCCAGTCCAAGACCCACAGACAGTATCATGGGCAAGTCAATAGGGCTCTACTGTAATTATCCTGTACCGTATGCCTGGCCAGGTCTTCTGAAGCAACCATGTATTTCAGGAAACTTCAGTTACACTTTCAGGCCCTAGGAGAAGTGACCAAATGCCCTTGGAATCATTCAAAAATCCATATTAACTTGACTTCTCAGAATAGGAGTTCATCCTAAAATATCTAGAACTATCCACTGGGGGTCAAAATGTTGCATTTTAAGGTACTTTGAAAGAAGCGACAATCCCCAAGTGGTGTTTGACATCTTTGATGCATTCCTCTTTTGATGTTAGACATACATGTTAAAGAGTGTCACAGAGTACCTCTTGCAAAGTTAGATGTCAGAACTAAGGTAGTTTTAATTCTTTTTAAAGTCAGTAAGCGTTTTGCATTTGTAGGTGCACCAAATAACTGGCTGCTCTTAAGGACAGATTGTACCTTTGACCTTACTCGCAAGGCTTATGCTACTATCATTCCAATTTAAATTTAAGGTGACTGGGGTTAAGTTGTTCTAGGTGAATGATTCTCAGCACAATATTTTCATTTCTGCCCTATGAAAATGTAATTTTTGGCCACCACTTTTGCCTTGGCTTCTGGGTGAAGAGAGGAATTTTTAAAATCCCCACAGATTTTGTATCTCTTCCTTAAAACATAGATTAGTTACAAAGGAGAGGTTTTTTTAATTATTTAAGATTGAATGTTTCTGCTTAAAGACAGTGGGAAGTTGTTTTAAGTTGCAAGTTCCTTTAGCCAGCTACTAATCTCTTAATAGCTAATGTATTTTTAAGGGGTGTAGGTTGTCTGCCAATGTATTTTTAAAGCTGTTAATAAACTCAGTGGGCATGTAAATTGGGCCAGTCTTTTATCCTCATGCTCATCCTGTACCAGATGAACAGAGTTACAGTTAGTTTCAGGCTGGCTTTGCCAGACTTGTATTCTATAAGTATATTGAAAGCTACTGTTATGAATTCTTTGCCCATCAGCTTTTATCATTAGCACTGACAAAATTTCTAGCATTGTTATAAGTATTCTTTAAACTTTTGGTTAAAATTGTCGTGAAAAAAGTAATGTGTAAAGCCTATATCGAGACTGTAAACTCTTCCCCTTATTACTCTTAAAGAAAAAACAATTATGAATGTGTTGAGCATTTATCCAAAATACAGGCAAATATATAGCTTCAAGTTGAAATATGTTTTCTGTTTACTCATTTATATTGATTTGTACTGTTTGTTGTGGTCCCAAATGGCTAAACAGATTTCAAACTGGAATAAATGATGAGGGAAAATTCACCTACCATTTTGAAGAGATTTGACTTGCAACCACATATAATTTGTCTCCAAGAAAACAAATAACTAAATGTTGTTTAAAGCTAAACATTTCCACCCCCTCTCTCCAAAAAAATTTAAAAGAGTAATTTTATGCAATAGCAAATATACAGGACTAAACTTCACCCGGGGTATCATTAACTTATTTTTAAGGTAGCAAAAGTTCATTTCCTGTCAATAAGAATTTTAAAAATAAAGGCATGCACCAGTTGCATATTAAGCACTTCATAGACAGCCTGTAATGCCAGCTTGTGTTTCTGGTTCCCCTACTCTCTGGCTACAATATATACTCCAGCTCTGGCTTCTTGCCTAGCTCCATAGAATAGTGTAGGGAGCATGCACTGTAATCCAATTATTTCCCATTTAGAAGGAAAGCTGATGGGTAAGACACAGCAGACAAATCCCAGCAGACTAAAGAGACAAAACAAAATGTTTTATGACTGGTTAGAGCAAAATGATGAATTCTGTAGGCAAAATGGCAGTGGCATCCTGGAAAAATGCCAAATTGATATTTGCCTTATATTTGAGGCAGGTTGTGCATGTCAGAGCACTGTGTCAGCCAGTGTGTGTATTAGGCAGATGTCAATGCATTGGTTTCTATTCAGATAAGTTGCAAAGGTTATCACTGCAATCATAAGAGCTAAGGTTATAGTTTAATTCAAACAAAAGCTCAAAATTAAGAGCACAATTTCAGAGCACTAAGTGAATTCCACAGTAACAGAGTAAGCATGGTATAAGTATAGATCCAGGCAAGATGGCCACTCTTATCAACTGGGGATTGCCAAGGAATGTCAAGTAGTATGCTTCTTTAGCTTTTCTAATTTCTGTCTGTGTTTCCTGAAGGATTCCTCAAGATGAGATTAGTTTCTTTGATGGTCTTTTCAAGAAGTGTTGTGCCTCATTATACTAGAGGCCCAGCATTCTTTGACATGAAACCAGTGTTGATGACTGGAAACATATACATCCAATTTGGTCCCCCAGAACCCTTCCAAGCCCTTTTTGTTGAAGTAGATGCATCAGACTTTACAATTTGAGCTGTCTTTTCTCAAGAGACATGGTCTAAAGAAAGAAGTACATACCTGCTGTGACAGAACACCTTTGGGTGCCTGTCACTTTAAGGGCCAGAGCGGACATCAGGGCAGCTGGCAGGTGTGTACCATAGTAATGAGGCAGTTGCATGACTGCAGGAGAGCCCTGAGATTGGAGGAGGGAGTAGATTAGCCTCCATTTTAGATATAGGTTCTCAGGGCTGGGTCAGCAGTCGGCTGCTGGAGAGACACCATCTGGCTCAGCAGCTGCTCAGGAACAGCTCGGAGTTAAGGGCAAGAGCTATGGGGATGGCAGAAGGCTCCTGGTCTTGAGTATGACTGAAAACTGCACCCTGCTGGGGAAGGATGGCCTGTTGGGGCTACCCATGGTGGGGTAGCTCCCCAGAAATGCCAGGCCAGTTGCCTCCCCATTGAAAGGCAGGTAGGGGCACCTTATAACCCTAGTCCCCACTACCCAGTGGATTATAGAGAAGATAGTATGACCAGGCACACCTAGAGGGAGGCACCTGAGCCCAGGATAAGACCCCAAGGCCCCAGCGGGGGCAGGGGGGGCAGAAGTAGTGGCTTGAAAAGGAACTAGCAGCTGAGTCAGCCCAGGATGAGGCATAAGGCTGGTGGCCATTTAGAGTAGGGTGCATTGTCGCGCCTGAAGGGCTGCATATGGGCCAGCCAGAGAGTGAGTAGCCAAGCCTGAAGGTCAGAGAGTCACAGAGTAGGGCAGAGTGAGAGTGGCTGAGTGAGGGGCAGTACAAAAGAGGCCCTTTGAGAAGGGGCAGAGTAAGTGAGGCCCTGTGAGAGGGGGCAGTGTGCAAGAGAGAGTGCTAGAGGCCCAACAAGGGGCAGAGTTAGCCTTGCTGTAGACCAGTGCTGTAAACAACTTAGGATGCCATCTGTCAGGATGGGACACAATAAGGGAAGGTTGGAGTCATGTGTAAACCCCTTGGCATCAGGGTATTAAAATGGACAGTCTCCCGCTTTTGATAACTGGTTTATCCCAACAAGTCGTGGCAGGAAAGACAGGGCAAACTGCCCTAGATGAAGTGGCAGGCTGGTGTGGTGACTGGCCACGAGTTGGCGCCTTTGTCATACCAGCCTTTCAATTCACGAAAGAGAAGTCCATCTGTACAAAATTAGAGTATTTGGGACAAAGAGTAGCTGCTTAGGAAAATGGTGTTCAAGAAATGGCTAAAGGGTGGTCAAAATTTGGAATGGGCTTCCAAGGGAGGTGGTGCTCTCCCCTGCCTTAGAGGTCTTTAAGAGAAGGCTGGATAGGCATCTGGCTGGTGTCCTCTGACCCCAACACTCTTTCACCTGGCTGGGGTCATCTGTTCCTAGCGCTTTTTCCTGCCTAGGCAGCGGGTCGGACTCAATGATCTGTTGAGGTCCCTTCCGACCCTAGCATCTACGAATCTGTGCCACTTCCTCAAAGCCCTACCAGGTTCACAATCGCAGTGCCTAAGGGCAATAAAAACCTGGAACACCAGTGAACAACCCTCTGAATAAAACACAATTCAGTAGTCTCTGTTTGGGCTTATTTCCTGTAACTTTTGATGTCCATGCATACAGTTGTGCATGGAATTGTATATCAAATCCTGCAGTGCATGTGCTTAGCTGAAGAACCATCAGGCTAAGCTGCAGCCTCTATCAACCCCATCTCAGCCATGGATTTCATTGCAGAACCACTTAATTCCAAGGGCAATATGACCATCCTGGTTGTTATCAACTGGCTGACAAACATGGTCCATTTCATTCTGTGACCGATTTCCTACTACAAAGGAGGCCACTCAGGTCTTTGTAGATCTCATCTTGAAACTCCACAGACTGCCATTCATCATCATCATCTCTTAAGCGATGCACTGTTTTCCTTCACCTTCTGGAGGGAGTTCTTCACTGTGTTGAACATAGGGTCCTCACATTCCCTGCCTCTGACTAGACCATATATCCTGGTTTGGCTGGGACACTCCAGAATTTCATAACCTGGTCCTGAACAGTTTGTCAAAAGTTCCAAGTTGGAGTCCGGTGGTGAGGTGGAGCAGCATGAAGCGGCAGGCAGGTGGCCAGGCAGGCACCATTGCTTCTGTGTGGGGGCAAAGAGAGCAGACCGGATCAGGCCCCACCTTGTCCACAGATGGCATATCCTTGCTTGGATTTTTGACCAGCCAGACTGGACTGGCCTATGGAATCCTGAAATGTTCCAGCCAAGCCGAGATGTATGGCCACCCTACCTATGACCCATAAATTGATGGTCAGACAGTGCAAGTTAACTAAGTCCTTGAATGGTACCACCATATTTTTCCTAATTACCACCAAACTGTAAATTTTGGGGTGAGTGGTGGATATCATATACAAGTCAGCCATCAAGTTTTATACAACACACAGATGATTTCCATAAGGGCTTGATCACAGTAGCTGTCTTTGTAGGACCTGTTGGCAGAACACATACCAAGAACTCTATTTGAGAACCAACGGTTCTTAGTAGAATCGGATGGAAAATGAAATTGTACGTGCACCAGGGTAAGAGAAGTTTCATTTATGCGGAGAAGCTCTGCGACAGCTCAAGGCTAAGACTTTCACCACATCAAACCAATCCTAAACTCTTCTGTCAGTCATACTGTGGAGAAAGCTGACTGTGTGCTAAGCCAACTGAAATTGAAACATTTGCCTTTCACTTGAGGACCATAGACATGAAGTGAGAACTCATTGTTCAAACTTGAAATACAAAGTTTGAAATACAAAGCATATATCGAGAAAACCAAAGCAAAAGTGAGATCACGATAAAACAACATCTAGAAACAGGTTAACTCCAAATGGAAAAGAAAAACAGCTGTGCTCAGATCAACCACAGATAGCCCTTTGATGTTCAGTAGTATAATGTGTGCCCCGTGTGGGGCGAGGTGCATACATGCAGAAAGGATCAAGCCAGTTCTGATACAATACATCAGTGACTGGCTCAAACTGACCAGCATGTAGTCTTTATCACCTGGTCTGCATTGTGCCCTAGGGTATCGGAAGAATAGTGGCCAGTCACGCAGAATGGACACTCCAAACCACAGACCATACAGCATCTGCTCTGCTAGCATGCATCTGTTAGGAGACTTAAATCATGAAGGAAATTATTACTACAACAGAACCTTGCAATCCATCTTTGGAGTCCGTGTGCTCCAAACTATGGTGATGGAGTGCATGATTGCAAGGAACAGCAGCCTCTGCTTAGATGAGACTTTCAGAGTCAGAGGAACCATGCACAATTTTGCAATGATTGACCTGTCTTCACACAGGTGTTGGTTGCTGTAAAGTAAACCTCATGAAATGGCGCTATGTCAGCCAGGCCCAAAACATGAAATCTGTCTGTGCCAAAAAGTAGACCATAATACCTCATATGCTTCATTGTCAACTTCTGGGTGGGGGGAGCCATGTACAGCTGACAATTTAAGTACTGTTATAGAATATGCTGGGGCCTGCACCCACAAATGATCATCATTTGTCTGACAGACATAAAATTAATGAAGCAAATGACTGAAATCCCTCCTGCCTCTGGCAAACTCCCTGACTTTTTCATTGAAGGGTAGGTTACCTTGCCTTTACTGCAGAGTAAGAGCTAACTTTCTGTAAGTTCATACTCTCAGTTACTTTTCAGGGTCTTCATGTTTATATCCTGAATTTCAGATTTTTTGTATTGGTGACATATTTAAGTCAGTGCTTGACATATTGAGAAGAAGGAAAAAAAGTCTGGTTTGGCACTTATATGTCAACTATATTTGGAATTTACCAGCCTCGATGGTATCCTTTTAAATGTTTTTTCATCTGTAGTCCTTTAAAACGGTCCTCCCCAACACATTTGAAGACATGTGTCTCTAAACAATAATTTATTCCCAAGCAGAAAAGAGAATTTGACTTAACTCTACTTATGTGTCAGGTGCTTCAGTAATATACATTAACATTGTCAAGGAGCCGACTTAAAAGTCTTATCCAGGTGGGGTTATCTTGCCAGTTCACCTCTGATCCACTACTAAGAATTGTCAGAATTGATGGAGTTTTATCATTTCTGTCTTTCTTGTATGCTGCCAATTTATGGTTATTTGACAGGGTGGAAAATCTATCTGTGATTAAACAGCATGAGATATTTATTCTTGTCTGAAATAGTTCAATTATTATATGCATATATCAGTTATTAATGACTAACAAAGCTTCAGAACTGTTAAAAGAATGTCTGCTTTACAAAAACTTTAAATTATTTTCTTTAATGTCTGATGTCATTCTGTCAATGGCTTGTTCACAAAAACATCACAGCCATATTTTTTAAATGTTGGCTTATTTTAAATATACTGAAAGTCACGTGATGTGCAAACATACATGCAGAGAAGACTAATAGTTGTATATACATATATTTTCCCTTAAAACAAATATGATTTATAATATTTCCTTATTAAATAATATAGGCACTTTTAAAATCAATGGAATATCAACATTCACTTAATATTAAGTGTATTCTTACCGTATTTCTCAATCTGGACAAAAATGTATGCAACTATAGAATCAGTATCTCTCAATATGATTATGTAAAGATGGTAAAAATAATATAAAACTCTAGACAGAAAGAACCTTATAAACTGTCAACATTACTTCTAATACACACATTTCAGATCGTTCTAAAAAGAGTAAGATGTTATATTTCTTTCTTGTAGCCCTCAAGTTTAGATGATAGACGAGGAAGTCGGCCAAGGTCTATGGTTAGATCATTCACTATGCCGTCATCTTCAAGACCTTTATCTGTTGCATCAGTATCTTCCATTTCATCAGACAGTACACCTTCTAGACCTGGCTCTGATGGGTAAGTAAGCTATCATCATTATAGGCTTACGATTGTTGGTAACAGCTGAGTATACAAATCCATGGTTTTAAGAAACTAACACAGGGGCAAGCAATTATTTGTGCCTATGGGCCACATAGGCAGCTCTAGGGAGCTGCCATGGGCCAGTCAGCACTCCCCACAAACACACTCTGCAATGCCCAGAGCCCTCACACACTGTGGCTCTTCTCCACCAGTGCCAACAGTGCACAGCCCAGCCCACCCCAGCCCTGCTCCAGACTCGCCCCAGCTGGAGCAGACCAGCCAGAACCCATACGCACAACCCTGATTCCAGCTTGCCCGTGACTTCTCTCAATTGCCCTCCTATATTGAGCAGTGTCAACATCTGGGAAGAAGCTGCTACTTGGCGTGGCATAAAAGCGGTCCTTCCCCTCAATGCTGCAGCTGCCCAGAGCCTATGCCTGAGTTGCCTGTGCCTCCTCTCCACCGCCTTCACCACTGCTTCTGGGCTGCCCAGTGGGGTAGTGATGGCAGTGCAGAGGAACCACAGGGCAGCCCAGGAACAGGTTCTGGGTGGCTGCAACAAGAAAGGCCCGGTAGCGGTGAGAGGGAGGGGCCACTTTTCCCCCATGCCAAGCAGCAGCTTCTGCCCGGCTGCTGTCGAAGCTGCCGCTGTTTCCTGTGGGTAGGCAAGTCTGGAGCAGGCCTGCAGGCATGGGGCGGGCAGGTGGCATTTCTGTGCACACAGGTCCCTCGCTGTACCATGGGGTTGGAGCCAGTGGCGCCAGCAGCTGGAAGGAGCCTCCACCGCCTGGGCTGCCTAGAAAGGCAATCCAGCTGCAGAGCCACCTCAGCCCTGCTATTTGCCTAGAGGGTGGTGGGATGCAGAATGGGCCAGATGGCGCCTGGGCCAGGTCGGACTGAGGGACTCGCTGCAGGCCAAACAAAGTCCCTCTGTAGACCATATTTTGCCCTGAGCTAACAGCATCTAAAAACCGCATTCATTACAATCACAATTCCAAGTTGATATGTTATTTTATTATAGTATGAAATTAGAATATTATACATTTATAGAATTGCTAATATGAATAAGAAAAGCTTACATAAATGTCTTATGAGCAAGCTATTTCTATTTGGAAAGATAATTCAGGTGCACATTGTAGAAATTTTATGTTAGATGATTCTTTTCTGCCCCCATAACAATAAAACTTAGCTCTTTCTCAAACTGATTGCAATTGAGAAGAAAAGCACCATTTTAAATAGGTATCATCACTTAAAAGAATCATGCTTTTTCTCAATGCTGATTTAACTGACTGTACTATTTGATTATTTTATCGTTTTACCAAGATAAGTACGATGCAGTGTCAGATGTGTGAATGTTTTTCTTTCTAAATTAGACCTAAAAACTACATGTATTCTTTTGAGTGGGCTACAAGAAGTAGCTATCCCAAATGGATTTACACTAAGCCTTTGGTGAGCTGTTTCTTTTTAATTGCATTCAGTAACTCTGGTAGTGGTGAACAGTGCTAGAGGAGCAAGGGGGATGGAGCAGGGCAGATGGGATGGGCTGCCATCTCAATTATTCCTTCTCAGTTTTGCTGTCTCCAAAAAAAATAACTTTGTCAGGATTATACTTCACGTAAGAAAATGGCTTAGCCATTTCATGCATGGAGAGTAGGGAACTGTCTATGCCATGCCTTCCATACAGGGATATCTTCTCTATCTCACACTTCTTGTCCTTCTTTCTCCATTGCTACATTCCTCTCTCTTGTCCTTACTCCAGTCTTTTTATATTCTTGCTTTTCTCCATAAGCTTTTTTTATTATGTACCTCCCTGTCAGCTCTGTTGTTGCTCATATCATTTAACAGGCTTTGTGTGTGAAGCACATGGTGAGAGCAATTTGATGGGGATTATTTGATTGCAATCAGTTTCAGTTTGGGTTTCTATCCCCAATCATTCTTCCTTGAAGTCTAGCTTCATCTGAAAAACATATGATGCAGAAGGAAGCTGCATAATATGTCATTTTCCCTTGGTGATTTCTTTATATGTGCATCTGTTATGAAAAATTAGAGTTAGTCTGTTTTCCTTTCAGCCATTCAGGAACGTCCCTCCCATATACTTAAAGGAGCAATAAATATCATGATATCATAGTGCATATACTTTACCACCATGAAGCAGAGCCTAAACCAAGGCTCACTGAACTTAATAGGAGTCTTTCTATTAACTTGAATGGGCTTTGGCTTAAGTTCATAGCATCCAGGCATAGCGATGCCATTTTGATTCTGAAGCTTGCCAGGCACAGAGCCTCTTTGGTCCTTTTTTGGTAGGCTGCTGATGATAATGGCTTGTCATTTAATCCAAGTAGCAGCAAGGGTGGTGGCTAAAGAAATGTGGTTTAACTACAAACTACTTAGAAGCTTAACTTTGGGTGATGATCAGGGATGCTGGTTTTCCCTGATTAAAAAAAAAAATCACAATTTCTCTAATTAAAACCCTAAAATCCAATATTAAAGTGAAAGGCCACTAAAATATATATAGCTATCAGGTGAACACAATGTTTTCTTAATATATTTACAATTTTAAAACAATTAGGAAGCCTACCAGTGCCTCAGTCACTATAATAAAATAAATGGGACCCCTATCTGCCAGGGCTGCAGGGCCAGGGACTTGGTCCACAGCCCCTTACCCTCCACAACAGCACCTGAACCCCAGCGCAGCAGCACCTGAACAGGAGGCAAGACCTGTTACAGCGAAGCGGAGCATGGAGCCCAGCTCCCCCCACCCTGCTGCCTGCCTGCTGCAGGTTCGGGCAGGGTGGGGCTGGCTCCTCTCCACTGAGCACACGCCTGGGGGACAGATGGGACCTGTGCCCCACAGATCTGTGCACAGGGTGGGGGCAGGGGTGGGCATGGGCCTTCACAGCCCAGCAGGTGTGACCTGGTGCTGGAGGGCAGAGCAGGGCTGCGCAGGAAAGGTCCTTCCCTCTGCAAGTTCTCCGCTGGCTTGGCGAGGCATCCCCTGTCTGTGCAACAGCAGGAGAGGCAGTGGCATGAGATTGTGCAAAATCCATGGAGTTTTGTGCAAAATCCGCAGGTTTCTCTGTTAAAAGTGTAAAATTCATGGGTTTCTCCATTCAAACAAAAATTCCACATTTTTCGCGGTTGAAGGGGGAATGCACGTTTTTCTTCGTTTTTCTGTGGAAAATGGAAAACCTGTATCCCTGGTTATGATTAATTTCCTTACTGCATTCAGTGTTTAAATGCTCAAGGAGGTAAGCTGGGAGGGCTGTGAAAGTTGTTTATTGATGTAATGGCATATTTAATGCACTGTTATGCTTCTTGTCTGCAGCATAAGGAAAATGGAGTTAAATTATTTTTGGAAGTTTCTTGTTATTCCCCCAGAAGGCTATTCAGCATACCCTGATCACTCTTCAGTGGAGGCAGCTGCCAAATATGTTTTTGTTGTGTCTGCAGTCTCAGGAAAAATTACTTGGTGTTAAATCATAAAAATAGTATCAATTATCCAAGCACTCTGCGTAGCACATTCCATTGCCATCTACAATTTCATCAAAGTCAGGCAGCATAAATTTTAAAAGATTTGTTTACCTCTAATTTAAAAGATTCCTACTCACTTCAGTAAGTATGTCATCTGCCCCAATGTAAAAGAAGCTATTTGGCTCTATAACTCCACCAATAAATTGAACCCAGGAAATGTGGCTGTTAGGATACCAGGATTCTTTGGCTGTCATCTCCAGCAGCCACCAGAGAAAAGATCTCGATAAGAGCCACAAAGAAGCATCTGCAGGAGGCCTCATTATTATACTTCTGAGTTTGGAGCCATGGCTTGGTTGCATCCTGGACACAGACTAACCTGAGGGACCCACCCCAGAATAGCTAATAGCCTCCTTGTCAGTGCATTCACCTGAGCTCTGAAAGGCTTAAGGTATGAATGAGGCTGAACAGAGCTTGCCCATAGATCTCCCACATCCCAGGTAAGTGCCCTTACCACCAAACTATGGTTCCTAGGAGACAAAAAACATTTCTAGTTTAACTAGAAATTCTCTCTTGGAGCTTTACCCACTGAAATTATCACAAAAGTAGCTTTTTTTCTTGAAGAGTTTCAATTAAACAGTGCTTCTGGAAAATCCCTAACAAGCTCTAATTTGAGATCCTGAAAGTGTTTATATCTATCAGTTTTGATGCAAAAAGATTATATTTATCAACACACAAACATTTGAGCATTTATAATCCGAATATGAATTGGAAGCACCAGGGCATGATCTGGAGTCAGAACAGTAGTGGAGGTGCAGGGGCAGTTGGGATTAGGTCGGTGTGAGAAGTGGGTTTGGGATCTACTTGACTTGTCCTAAAGAGACCTAAATCATAGAATCATGGAGAAGTAGGACTGCAATGGACTTCCAAAGGTCATCTTGCCCACCCCTGTGTCTGAAGCAGGATCATCCCTAACTAAACCCATTGTCTAACCTGTTATCAAAGCTTAGACAGTCAACCCTGACTCAACCACATTACACCTGTAATCTGCCACAGGTAAAACAGGGGGGGCATATTCCCAGCAAGTGTGTTGGCACACCCCAGTCAAAATCCTTTGCCTTGGCTACAGCCAACACCTAATACTTATAAGGAAAGCACACACACAAAAAACACCCCTGATACATGTAGCAGCAGGAGGGGAAAAAATTCCTCCCAGCCCCATGTGGCAAGCAGCAAAGCCCAGAAGCATAGGAAATACACATAGTAGAACGTAGGCATGGCTACTCTTCGATCATTCCTGACCCAATGCCTGCCCAACCTCTTCTTGCACTCCTCCAATGATGATGAGTCCAGGTTCCGTACACAGTCTATTCCACTACCTCACTATTCTAACAAGGAAGAAGTTTTTCCTGATATCCAAGCTAAACATACTTTGCTGCAACATCAAGCCATTGGTCCATATCTTACTCTCTTCAGAAAGAGATAAAAAGGTGTTTTCCCTCTTCTTTATGGTAGGACTTCAGATATTT